AGAGCAAATGAGATCTAGGTAAGAAGCTGTAAGCTCGGGATTATGAGTAATAAAGCGTTAAGTTGTTGAAATTACTTATTAAGATAAGTGTGTAGTTAATAAATTAGGACTTTTATTCAACAGCGATCATTGAAAAGAGTTCAAAATAGACAATTTATTGAGAAACTCCGTACCTTTGTGTTAATGTTTTGAACTCAACTTATTCTTTTTGAAATTTTCGTGATTAACTTTTTACTTTGATTGCCTTCTCTGTTCACAACCACTCATTTCTCAAGAACTTAATGTTTTTCTTTATAAATAATTTTCTACAACTTGGCACTTCATTTTTTTAATTATTGTTACTAAGAACGTTTACGATGCAACATGCGAACATTTGTAAAATTTCAACCAAGAATTCATCTCGCGACGAAAGAATTCCCCATAAAATATTAACTTTGTTTTGATTTTAGCAGAAGGGTATCTGTAAAAATAAATCCATTTTTGTTGTTAACATTTTCAACCAGGCAATTTTGATGAGGGGACCAGAGAATGAAAGATATGATAGTGAATTTTTTAATTTTAGGTAAATTGAAATTTATTGAAAATGAAATAACAAATCTTTTGCACCAATTATTGAAATAATTTATGTATGCATGTATGTGACATCAATATGGAGTCGAACAAACATTGGTTTGCCATCGGCAATTTTGATGTCAATGTTATGCCAGTATTTATTAATTTAATTATTATATATTTATCTTTAAAAACTTTATATTGAAGTTTGTGCGTTCATATGTACATGCAAAGCCTTTAGAAAATATAAAAAAATATGAATTTACGATTGTGCTATATACATACTGTATCGGATTTCTCAATAAATCGTATACCTTGTAACTCACTCTTGAGTTCGATCACTGGATTGTTAAATACATAAAAATCCCATTTTAATGCTATACACATATCGTTTTTTTTATAATTTCAACAACTTAACACTTATTACTCGTTATTCGAGTTACAACTATTGCTTATAACTCAATTGCTCTTTACATGGCAACACTCTAACTAGAACTGTTTTTGCCGCACAATCCGGCAGCCCTATATATATATATATATAGTAGATAGCCCTAGATATAGTAGATTGTTAACAAAACTTTGCTACTTGAACATTATTGCAACTAGGAATTTGGCTATCTAGTTGGCTCTAACAGTTTATCGTCGATTTAAATTTGTTCTGGCATTCGTGTTCACCATACTGCCTTCCACCTAAGTCGTATCGTCACGATTACACATATTTGCGGTACCAAACGCTGTAAGTCGTTCCAGCTGAACTACCTTCATTTTATTCCTCGGTCTTCCAATGGTCTGTATGCGATACACTACATCGTTGAGTCGTTTAATAACCTGGTATGGTCCTTCCCAATTATACTGTAATTTGGGAGACAGCCTTTTTTTTTTTGTTATGGGTTATATAATATAACAATACCCAATTGCCTTCAATAAATCACTCAGAGTTCATTGCCTTGTCGTATTTTGCTTTCATTTTATCGCGCATTATTTTGTTGCGCTGGATCACCATAGTGTAGTATATCGCTCATCTCGTTTTCTAAGATGGTGTTGACTTCTTTAGCATTCCTTCCTCTGTTGGCGTGAATTCCAAACTTCAAATCAAACGGCAGTCGAAGATCATCACCAAAAATTACCCGTGCTGGAGTCTGCTACGTTGTTTCATGTACAGCGGACCGATAAGCCATCAAGAATAAGGACATATGGGTACCCTAATATGTTTTATTCTTGTCTACCCCCTTTCTTAAAATTTCTTCCAAAGTTCGAATCAATCTTTTGACTATGCCATCGGACTGCGACTGAAATGCAGTTGTTCATACTTTCCTTGATCCAGTTTGTGGTACATCCTCTGAATTAAAGCTGACTCGAAATGGGTTTCAGGGTAAGAACGTAATTTCATTGGAACACCGAATCTTGTTACCCACTCGTTGAAAGCTTAGGAAAGTCTTACTTACGTTTATGTTGTCTTGTCATAGCCAGGGTTTTGCCTATAAGTCAGTTTAGCCAAATATCTGCTTCTGATTTTGGTGGAATCTGCTGACTCTCTGTTGTTATCACTCGTCTAACGTTGTACAATACTTATTATCGTTACCGAACATAAGTGGCACTTTAATATTTTTATAGGTCATAATCCTGTTTTCCATATCAATTTTGATTCCTTGATTTGCTAGAAGGTCTACTCCAATTATGATTTTGTCGATGAGCTAATGGTCTCACATCTTTATTAACCAGATCGGATAGAATTATCGAATGTTATGCGCTCGTATCCCCAGTTCGTATGCGCTTTCTGCCGTCTACACATCCACTAACGGCAACGTTACGGCAGCGTTTACCTCCAACTGCATTATTGGACTGGTTACAGTTGCTTGCAATATGACCGCTATTTCCGCAGTTGAAGCATTTAACCACACTAATATTTTTCTTTCGCGCTAACAATTTTTTCAAGTTATTGGTACACTTAAGTGTGTTCTTCTATTTCTACTTTATGAGCTTTAAATGTCGACTGCTAAGCAGAGATGCAGTTGCCTGTGTGAGTCTTCGATATCCGTGCATCGATTCTGTGAACTGCTTTTAGAACTGCGTTGACAACCGCGTTTCTAACGAGGATAATTTGGATTGCTGTATCTACATTTGTGATGACACCTCTGACGAGCATTGAGTCTCTGCCATTTCTTCTATCTCTGTAGTCTCATCCTCTAATTCGAATTAAAACACATATTCGTTTTCTGCTTCAATGGCCTCTCGTAACCGTGATTGTAATTCGAACTTTAGTCAATTTGTTGCTAAACCACGTTTTTCCAGCTCCGTCTCTAGTTGAGGAATATTCAGATCCTTAAGCGTTACCATTTGAAAACAATTATATCTTTGGAATTCTCTATTTGACCTCTGACACCAATTGTAACGGATTTCTCAATAAATCGTCTACCTTGTAACTCACTCCTGAGTTCGATCACTGGATTGTTAAATAAAATTTAACGCTATGCATGGCGTAATCCTTTGATTTAACATACCCCCAAAATAATCGCATAATCTTGGCGGCCATTTCTCGAATTACCGAATCACCAAACTTTGCATGCAATGTGTACATGTTTAGACTGTAGACTTGTAGGATATAGAAATCGTCCGCGTCGATTTCATCAAATTCCGGGTAAAATCATATTATAACGCTCACTATTGATTTTAACAGCATTTTCTGTCTAATTTCGAAAGAAGTACGGCCCGATGATGCCACCATATTACAATCCGCACCAAACGCGAAACTTTAAGGATTTGACTTACTCCAATAGCGAAATTTTTTTTTTTGTTGACGAAGCCATTAAGTCAGAAATGGGCCTTATCTGAGAAGAAGATTTTTCGATGAACAGTAGCCACCGGAGAACGGGAATTTGCCTAATAATCTTGGACAATTTCCAAGCGTTGTACCAAAGTGAAACGTGACATGGTGAAATGACAAACCTTACTGAACACATTGACAAAATTTGACACAAATCCGTACACAAACATGGCCGCCACGAGCTGTCAAAATCACCCAACCCTATTGGTAGACGCTGTATATGGTTTGGAATTGGGAATTTTGGGTAATTTTTAGATCAACTTCACACATTTTTAGAGTTATGGTACAGCTTAATCCCATATTATGCGATAAATTATTTTGCTATGAGAGCTTACATTTTGATCGATATATACGCTATAAATTCAATCGGAAGTTTGAGATTTATATTATAGGTATATTAGATATTTAGGGCCTAGGGATAGTTATGACCCGACGAGCAATATTATTAGAGAGAAACGTTCTCTAAATTTTCCTGAGAAATCGCATATGGGGTCTAATTTAAGAATTGAACTCATTTAACCCTGTTTGTATTCAAGAGAATACTATTATCAGAAAAAGATTCTCTATAAATTTCAATAATTTACTTTAGAGTTTTTCCAATATTTTCGGTAAAAAATCAGCACTAGGCACTCAGGTCCACATTTTCTGTGGCTGGGGACTTGAAAAGCTAATTTTCGATGATGGATGGCATAGCTTAGAAGCACTTTTTGCTCAGGTTTTTTTTCATCACTTTAATGGTGCTTCATTTATATTCTGTGAAGTAAATTACTCATATGGAAATGAAAATTCTTATATATGAAAAATGGGCGTGGTTGTTGTCCGCTGTTGCTCATTTTCATAAGATAAAATACAAATGTTAAAATAATATTATATTATGCACCGAATTTAGTTGAAATCAGTCTATTATTTCCTGAGATATAGAAGTCCATTTCAAGGTGGGGGGACCACGCCCATTGTCCAGTTTTGATACCGACTCCTATGAAGCTTTTCCGTACCATCTCTGATGTAAAATTAAATGCTTCTGACGCAATTATTTTTGAGTTATCGTCCTTTTGCTAGTTTTCAACCGGGGGAGTTTTCAATTTGGGGAGGTAGTGGTTATTATCTGATGCGGCCACTTTGGTATTTTGTGGGTGTAGCAATGGTCCGATTCCACCCATCTACATTACTAACCTCCCTTGAGTGTATCAAGTCTTATGTACTTAAATAAATGTTTACTCAAGACAGAGTCAGTCGGTATTCAACTAGTCATTCAACTCATCATCCTATTCATTTATATGGTATATATATGTATGTATATAGCTCTATTTCTTTCTTCATTAAGTTTTAGGCTTCAAAAACAACCGTTAGGTGAACAAACCTATAATATTCTGTAGCAACATGTTGCGAGAGTATAAAAATCACGGCACTGTTTTCTGCAAATTTGTCCTCGCTGTATCATTGTAAACTTTGTAACAGAATTTATAGCAAGACGTAGTTTTAAGATGGATGCATTGATACCAATTTTGTTAAATTTATGGATAATTTGATAGAATATATAAATTTTTGGTAAAATATATTTTTAGCTTTATGTAAATAACATAAATTCAATCATGTCAGCTTATTTATTGTATATTCCTTATAGCTACCACCTATTTTAGGAATTTGGGGAGAAATGGGTCTCGATGAAATTACATTTTCATGTACTATTTTAAAAAAAAATGGAAAATCGATAAAAAAAACTCTGTTTTTGATTGGATTTCTTCTGCCATGCATTGTTATAATAGTTTCGTATTCGTGCATTTATCTAACAGTTTTGCGACAAAAGAGAAAAATGGAAACCCATCGAAACTATAAAGTTGCATCGAATGAATCAGTATTTACCTCTAGAAAACACAAAGAGGATAACAAGTTAACAGTAATGATGGTTTCCATTTTCGGATGCTTTCTTGGTTGTTTTTTGCCTTTAATGCTGGCAAATGTAGTGGACGACGAAAGAGCAACCAGTTATCCTTGGTTTCACATAATGGCATCAGTAATGGCTTGGGCGTCGAGTGTGATTAATCCGATTATATACGCTGCAAGTAACAGAAATTACAGGTAATTTAACTTAATTTTTTATAAAATAAAAAATTTCTGAGTTATATAATATTTTATAGAATGTGCTGAACTAAAAATGTTCATGAAGCGGTTTTCTATTTAGCAATGATTCATAATTTTTTCAATATTCAAAAAGATTTCGTATCGGTTGAAACTTTTAGCGTTAAATTCTCTCAGAGCAGGAGGATTTTTATTTACCCGGAATCTTTGCTTGTCCAACATAGCGTCCGTAAAATTATCTATCCGTAGGCTTCGGACATGCCCCTTCTCAAAAATGTCTTAAATAAAAAAACCAAGGAAGCAAGATTCAGCTTACCATAATATTACTAAAGACTTACTTACATACTTACCACTCAAAAGAAATTTATAGTGTTCTTTCCACTACACCACAGAACAATTATCACTTTTCTGAATGTTTCTACAAATGATGAGGAGCCCTTTAAATATTATAGATATTTCGGAACATTGTGAAAAACAAGTCTGCCAATTAATTCAATTTTTGATTGGTCCTATTGATTTCACTCCTTCCAGCGCGAAAAACTTGCACTAAATGTGGACCATATATTGAATCTAAGACAAGAGACATACGCGCTTAAATAATTTTAAAAAATAGCGGTATACTCAATCAATATGATAAAAAACTAGTTCGAATTTTTTTGGCTTGGTTGCGTAAACTTGTGTAAGCTATGGAGCTCACTGGATAAGAACATGTCTATTCGACACCCTTATTGAAAAACAATGATGTCCATTAGAATTTAAAGTAGTTTTGTTTAATAGAATTGAATTGATTTGTATGTTCACCGTGAAATGATGAAATTTCTGTGCAATGACTCAGTTTTTCAAGTAAGTTTTTTAAAGATTTTAAAACTTATATATTAACTATCAATTTATAAGAGCGCAGTGTTTAAGTACAATTATAAATATTATATTAATCATAATAATGTATTAATAGATAATAGGTCTATACTTTAACTGCTAGTAGCTGCTAGCTATCAGGGAGGGGAAAATTTACAGTTACTCTCACAAAGGAAAAACGGAAACCAGCAGAAACTATCAAGAAAAAACAAAACGTTGTTTTTTACAATCACTTCATATCAATCAATAAAATTTTTATTTTCACAAGTCAGAACAATAACAATAAACCAATGCCTCAAATATCGCTTGTATACACATGTGCTTTAACAGCTGTTCCTTCATATGACAGTCTTCTACTCATTTCTGGTGCTTGCTTTTCTAGCAGAAACTTTGTTAGCTAGCAATAGTTAGCAGTTAAGATACAGACCTAATGTAAATTCCTAATAAATATTTGGTAACAAAAAAGTGTAAAAATAAATTATATCATTAATAAAGTGTTTAAAGTGGAACGATTTTTTTGAATATCAAATTTTTGTTAATTATTCAGTTAAAAACGATCGTAAATAAATAACAAATAAAGTACACATGTTTTCTTTAAATATATTCAGTGTATTCAAATTCTAAAATTCGCAGAACAATGTAGACAGCTACTCTTGAACAGTTTGCTTTATTTTGGTATTAAGTAAAGTCTCTCTCGATGTACTAATCTAATAAGAAATTTAAAATTGAAGAATATAATACTTTTTCTAGCAGTTTATTGATAAAATACATATAACGGGTGTTTTTTTTTTAGAGGTATAGAACTTTAAATTGCAATAAAACAACGATGGATTATTCGATTGACATGAATTTTATTTATCCGAAAGATAATCTTGTGGCATTACATTTTAAATATGATTTCTGGCATATGACCGCTACGGCTGGCTCGGATGTAGTCCAATCTGGACGTCCAACTTTCGATGACTTTTTCCAACATTTGTGGCCGTATATCATCAATAACACGGTGAATGTTGTCTTCCAAATGGTTAAGCGTTTGTGGCTTATGCGCATAGACCAATGTCTTTACATAACCCCACAGAAAGTAGTCTAGCGGTGTTAAATCACAAGATCTTGGAGGCCAATTCACAGGTCCAAAACGTGAAAATAGGCGGTCACCAAACGTGTCTTTCAATAAATCGATTGTGGATTGTGTGTGAGATGTTGCGCCGTCTTGTTGGAACCACAGCTCCTGGACATCATGGTTGTTCAATTCATTGTTTTTGAAGAAGAACAGACCAATTATTCCACCAGCCCATAAAGCTGACCAAACAGTCAGTTTTTCTAGATGTAACGGTGTTTCGACATACACTTGAGGATTAGCTTCACTCCAAATGCGGCAGTTTTGTTTGTTGACGTAGCCATTCAACCAGAAGTGCGCTTCATCATAAAATGAACGTAGTGCGCGATACGTATTCCGCACAGAACCATTACTTTCGAAATAAAATTGCATTATTTGCAAGCGTTGTTCAGGCCTGAGTCTATTCATGATGAATTGCCAAACCAAACTGAGAATAAATCACTTGACTGTTGTTAAATCGGTCGCCAAATGGAACAGTAATGTCAACTAAAAGTTCTATACCTCGAAAAAAATTACCCGTTACATATGTCTTCATTAAATAATTGAATGGATTGATTTCCTACTTAGTTTTGAAATTTATAATTGATGATAATTTAATCAAAATTTTTTTTTTACAGAATTGCATATTACAACACAATAAGGCATTTAAAATTCTGGGGTAAGCCGTTGTCATCGATTCACAGCAGAAGCGTACATCCCAGTAAAAACGAAGATTACACAGGACCACTTAGGAGCATACCGTTGTTTCAAGTTACCAGCGAGAAACACGTAAATAATTTGTGCCAAACATACTCTGTATAAGAAATAATAACCGATTTATAGTATTATTTACTTATATTTATAAAGTACGTACAACTTTTTAAATAATGTTGTCTTAAGTGTATTGTCTTGCCAATAAATCCATTAAAAGCATGTTTAACTGAACACAGAACCTACTGGACATAGGTTTATTTACAAAGCATAAATACTTGTCCATAAACAAATTGTCGAAAACTAAACAGATATGCTGAAAAAACATAGTTTATTGATTATCTTATGAAAAATCGAGTCATTGATTCAATACTTAATGGTTCTAATTTCACAGTAACGTATACGAAGGATTGTAAATGTAAAGGGTTACATTACTTTAATATTGAATTTATAAAACCCACAACATTTAAAAGTGATTCTATTAGAATCTTAAATATTAAACTATTGTAATTAATGTAACTTTGTAAAGAAAGAAATTAATCCTTCGTTAAATACTTTGATACAAGACCGTCATTTGCCAAACCTTTATGTATTTATGGTATATGCCTACATATATGTGGTTATCTAACATTTGAATCGAATTTATTATTTTTATCTCTGAAAGCAAAACGGTAAAATAGGTTTCCATGGCAAACAAATAACCTAAGCGCAAGCAATGATGCAATTATGTTATTACATTTATAAAAAATTTATTGATGAATTCAAGAAAAGAAGAACTGCGACTTGACACCTCTGTTCCCTAAGGCCCATACTTAACAGTTTATCAGCAGTAAATACTATAAAAGGATTTGATTTGCGTATGGTTGTTGATCTCAATTCTCTGTTCACGGTGTGAAATATTTGACAGCAATGCTCAAATTTCTGCAATAATTCGTAAAACGATCTAGAATGAAATGGAAAACAGATGCACGTCTTGATGAAATTTATAATCGATATGTTTAGTAGATTAGAATTACACCCTTATTACGCATTTATAGTCGCACGACTTTTATAAGTATGAATGTATGTAAATTTACAACGCACATATCGCACACTAACTACAAAAGAATCACAATTAAAAAATTTTCAAAATAAACTTTTAATTTACAATATACAGCAGAAAAATTACGATTTATTTCAGTAATAGCGACACAATTACAAATAGTCCTTATAGTTGATACTGCACAAGCGAGGCAAACGACGTAATTAACAACAGCCGGTTCTACGTTACCGGAATTGACCCGAATTTTATCCGGGCAAAGGCTGTTATTTCGGTTCTAGGTTAAGTTTTTCGTCATTGAAGCAACGCCTATCAGCAGGGTTGCTCCGTATCCTCTTGACCCGTGCTGGCATCGAGTCCAACCCGGGCCCCGAGGAATTCTTTTGCTGCGTATGCGCTAAAAGGCTCCATCCAAACTCCACCTCGGTTAGGTGCAATACATGCAATGGATGGAGCCATCTTAAGACCTGCTCAGGCCTTAAGATCCATAGGGAGTGGTCCACGAGTTATGTGGCCCCATGCTGCCAACGCAATACTGCGACATCTGCCTCAACGGCTGTGCAACCTGCACCATGTTCGCGCACTGCGCCGCCACTCCAGTCGAGTGGCCAAGGAGCTCACACAGGCAGCATGACTCCCAGTCTGACCACCTTCAACGCAATACTCATTCCTACAGACATCATCGTTGGCGAGCGTTAATTCCGCAAGGTGATCGCTGCTCCTACTGCTCGCTTCATACCGGCTGAAAGAATCGCGGAACTCCGCCCTAATTTCCCAGCCGTAGCAGCTGTATTAGCAAACGAGCGCGACACCTTACGCCATGCCGATCCCTGTGATCCCCGAATAAGGGATTTCAATTTGGATTCGGCAAATGGTAAACCATCATAAGCGGACAAAATGGATAGAGCACCTGAAGTCCTGCAACCGCTCCACCGGTGTAAGTAAGCTTTGGACTACTGTCAAGGCCCTGTCAAATCCGAGGAAACATGATGATCGGGTTGAAATTCAATTCGATGGCCATGCCTCCTCGGACCCGAAGAAGTGCCCCAGCTATTTTAGCCGGCAGTTTACACTGCACCCTTCGACTGACAAGGCCAAACGATGTGTTACCCGACGTGTGTGTTACTTTCACCGATGGGAAGGCCAAATCGTCCAATTCCATTGGCCCTGACAGAATAAGCATTCTGATGTTAAAACATCTAGGCTCGACGGGAGTAGCTACCTTACCAAGGTCCTCAACTTGTCGATGGCCACTCTTCAAATACCCAAAAAGGGAAGTCTTATCGTCCGATAACTCTTCTTTCCCCAGTAGTGAAGACACTTGAGGCCTTGTTACTCCCGGAATTGAGTCTAGTCTAGCAGAACATCAGCATGGCTTCCGAAAAGTGCACAGCACCACCACAGCACTTAGCGTTATAAACGCCCAGATAGTTCATAGCCTAAACCAGAAGCCATCCTGCGAGAGGACGATCCTCGTAGCGTTAGACCTGCCAAAAGCTTTTAACACACTAATCACACAACGCTACTTGAGGACCTAGAACAATCAACGCTCCCTCCAGGGCATAAGCGGTGGACCATGAACTACCTGAGCGGTCGGCATTCATCCGTACTGTTTCGAGGCCTAACTCCAAACTTAGAAGAATTAAACAGGGGGTTCCGGTAGGGCATTTCAGTCGATGGCACGAAAATTCCGACAGTTAATAACCCTAAAATTTTAGGCGTAACATTGGACAGTCTTTGCTCCTTCACTCCCCACACTACCGCGATAACTGCCAAAGTACAGAGCGGCAAAAAAATCCTCAAATCACTTGCCGGCAGGTCTTGGGTAAAAGGCAAAGAAACGTTGTTGGCAACATAAAAGGCAATCGGCCGGTGGTTCCTAAACTATGCATCATCATCTTTGTTGCCTGGTTGTAGTGCAACGCAGACGAAGAAGCTTCAGACTTGTCAAAACACTGCACTCCGGACTATCACGGGATACCTCTTGATGTCCCCAATAGAACACCTGCACAGTGAGGCCCTCATGCTTCCGGTTAAGGAACATACCGAGCTCCTCTCTAAGCAGTTTCTGCTGCAGTCGTCTGCTTGAAGCGGAACCGCCTCCTAGGAACATCAAAAGGTCTTTCCTTGATTACGTCGAAGACATCAAACAGTACGCCGACCGGACTTCGGACGCAACAACCTACAGACGAGCACTGACCGCCATTCACAGTGGGGCTATTAACACCTTTATCGACTCCGTCTCAGTGAATGGCGTACTAAGAGTCAAACCACCACCCATAGCAGACGTAGAGCTCGAGTTGACTCGCGAAAGCAGAGTGACCCCCACGCAACTTCGTTCTGGATATTGTAGCATGTTAAACTCCTACTTACAGAATAGACCCCGACATTCCAAACATATGTCCTGAGCGTAATGTGTCTCCGCATGATACTAACCACCTCTTTGCATGCCCAACAAACCCCTCTCATCTAACACCCTCTTCCCTATGGTACGACAACGTCGAAACAGCCTGTTTCTTGGGCCTCCCGTTAGATGACCTCGACGACAACCAAACTATCACTTATCATCCAAGCGGGGGCTAGATAACCGTTACAACAACAACAAAAACAACGCAATTAGCACAAAAAGAGACCTAACGGTGACTTTCCAGTTAAGTAAAATAGTGATGGTAATGAAATGTCTTGGGTAAATAGATAAGTAGATTACGAATTGATATATTGAAAAGAGTTGTATTTTTCAAATTTTTTAGCTGTGACTTTTTTGTAGTTACTTTACTGTTCACTTGACTGTCAGCGGTGACAGTACTAAAGAATTCAGTTATTTATTTCTTATATATGTCGTTTATGTGTCTTTATGTTTATAAGTCGTATGTGGCGTTTTGTAGCAAAAACAGTGACGGTCAGTTGACAATCATCAAAAAGTGAGTGTATTGGTGAACCCACAACAGGTTCATGTAGGGAAATAATTTCGTTTGATAACAACAGCTGATCTTATAATAGGTTTCTTATTAATCAATGCATTACATACATTTTTTTTTTGTATTGTATAGAAAATTTTATTTTATTTTATACAATTAATTATTCCTCCATACCCAGCCACGCATATGGGACACCTAATTAGGAAATTAATGCGGGCTGAAGAGTTAAAGTCGGGATTACCTCAAATATCTATTTAATGGACAGCTTCAGTTCAGTCAGATTTCTGGGTTTGATTTTGTACACCTCTTGCTTGACATAACCCGATAAGAAAAGATCAAGCGGTCCCAAATATTCTTATACATATATATGTATATGTATAATTATATGTGCATATAAACAATAATAAAAGTACCCATTATTTGTCTACATGCAACATATGTATGAAAATATGTACACTCATTGTTTCATAGGAAATCTCCGTTGTCTGGAACAACCAGTGGCATATACAGAATTTCTTGCTGGAGGCAATTATTTCCTTCCTACATATTTTTAATATTCATATTACTTCGTATATTCTTCTAAATTTGAATTAGAACTATTTTCCGCGCTCTGATTTTATGATAGTAGCGGACTCTGTGAATCGATCTATTAACTATATAAATTTTTCGTCAATATTTTAAAATTACCGAACTATTATTATTCCCCCATAGATCCGCCACTGCGGCAAGGATGAAATGATGCGAGACTCTTTGAATCGAGAGAGAGCTGTCAAAACCCACATTTTTTATAACATTTGCCAATCATGCCACTGTCGAACGAAAATGGATTGGGTATTATAAAAAAAACTTGCGGGTATTTTGCATATCGATATTATTTTTAGGTGCACCGTCCCCGAGTAGGCATATATAACGCATATACATCCCTAAATACTTGTATTTATATTATAAAATTTTTAAAAAATCATATAACATAAATAAATAACATATAAATAAAAAAAATTATAACAAAGAAACAATACAAGTCATAATAAAAGATCATGGTTTTATAATGAACGTTTTAAAATAAATTAACAAATAAAATTTAGTTGCACGTTATTCAAAAGTATTTGTGTCGTTCCTTG